AAACACACACCGGTGAGGGTGTGCTCACACCCTGCTGGTGGGAATGGAAATGGTGCAGCCACCATGGAAAGAAGGGTGCATTTTCTCAGAAAGTTGGCAAGAGAATTACCATTAATACAGCAGCCCCACTACTAGGTACAGACACCGAATAAACCAAAATGGTGACACAAGCTGCCACAATGCACCCATATCCACTGCAGCATCATTTACAACAGCCATGAGACGGAAAGACTGCCAAGTCCATCAAAGATAAACAAAAGGAAATACAGTGCATGCACACAATGATGTACACATCACTAAAAATCCATCAAGAATCTCTGCACAAATAGATAAATCTTATACAAATACTTGAGTGACATAGGTCAGTCACCCAGAGACTGTCATGACACATGAGCACTATTCTAAAAAGCTAAAGAGAAGGTAGACACACAATAATCTTGGAGTGTTAGCAGGGATGGGCAAGGAGCGGGGAGGGAAAATAATCAGGTAAATTGGGTGATGGTACAGATAAATCACAGTAACAACAACACATTGTAATTAGTTAATTAATCAGTGGTAATTAATGTCATAAAATAAAATATCTTTGAAGGATTGACTAGAAAACCAGCATGATCTATAAATATCCGCTCAAACAGAAGGAAGCTCTTTGGAGTAGGTGGTCTGATGAGCTGTCACAGTGGGCCAGGAAGCCATGCTCAGCACGGCCCTGAGGCTGGGCTGGGGTCTTTCTGTGGGACATGACCCACAGGCTGGACCGCCAGGGTCTCCTCTGCCCCAGTGCCCTGGCACAGCTGCAGGTCTGTATCCACATCTGGACAAAAGATATCTCAGGATGGCAAAAAAAGAACACGATCAAGGAGGAGCTGCAGTCACCCTTCCCTGCTGTGGTGGGTGATGGCAGGGAGGCCAAACCCTAGGCTGTGGCCCCTCCTGGGTCCTGGGGCAGAAGGAAGGGGCTGGTGGGTCCGAGTCATGTCCTGGACAGACACTGCCATGTCCACCTGGGAATGACTATGGAGCAGACTCTGAGAATGTGAAGTATTTCCTTTGTTTATTCTTTGTGCAGTCGGCTCACAGATCATTTCAACAAAGCTAAAAATAGGGCACTGCAGCAATTCCCACGACAGCCAAGCAGCTCATGTTTACTCAACCTAAACTTTGTCCCTCTTTTCTGTTCTGATTGCCTCTTTGATGTGGCTGGGTTTTCTTTAAAATCAATAAAAGTCAGCCCTGGTGTGGATTAGCCGTCCTCAGGTGTCCCATTAGAGTCTGAGGACGAGGCTCAGGTGTTCCAGGGCAGGACCCACCTCTAGTCTGAGGTAGCACCACCACAGCCAGTGGGAGTGTTCTGGGGGTTCTGGGGAAAGAGGGAAAGCCGTGATGGCAAGCTGCCAAGCCTTGCCAGTGGCCTGTGAGGCTTCAGCAGCCTGTCTGCAAAGGAACCAGCTCATCTCCAGAGCATCCCTGCATGTGCACTGGGTGGGGGCCCAGAGACTCAAAGGTGGACACTGCTACAGTCAGTGGACACTCTTAGGTGCTGCACACTGGAGAACACCCACAGAGCATAGAGCGAGGGGACACTCCTAGGTACTGTACACTGGGGGAGGATCCACAGAGCACAGACGGGGGACATTCTTAGGTACCGCACACTGGGGAGCACCCAAAGACCACCTACGTGCTATGCGCTGGTGGTGCACCCCACATACCACAGAAAGGGTGGATATTCTTGGTGCCATATACTGGGGAAGCACCCACAGACCACAGAGCAGGGGGATAGTACTGCACACTCGGTAGAGAGCCCCGTGTGGATGGGCAGGCTCCTCATCCAGCTCCCCAGGCCACGCTGCCCACCCCTGTATGTCTGCAATCCCCAAAGCTGGATGCCACCCTTGGCTCCTGTCTTTGCACACTCCCACTCTCGGTTCAGGACTTACCTGGAGTATGGCCAGGCTGCAGGACAACAGGGCTGCCACCACAGTGCTGGCAGACAGGCCTCACTGACATCACAGGGCACCTCTTTCCAGGGCCCAGAGAATGTGACCAGCAGCAAGTAACCTTGGCGGGGCTTCTGGTCCTTCTTTACCCAGCCCACCCACAGCACCACTCAGCATGGAAAAGTCTACTAAAGTTATCCCATCTCCAAGCATGGGCCATCGTCCCTTGAACAGACTAGACTCATGCTTCTCCAAACAGCCTCGGTCACATCTTCTCAAGCTGGCCCAGGTCTGGTGATGGAGCCCTATCCTGAGAACAGTGAGGATGTCCATGGCCACTCGTCTGGTCATTGAGCGTCTGCCTAGAGGCAGCCTGGCCTCGGTCAGCAATCATGGACTTGCCCTCCTCACAGCCAGCCTGTGGTCATGGGCAAGCGGGCAGCCCTGTGTGTGGTGGTACCCAGTACCCCCTATCCTTAATCTGAGGCCAGCACCTCCATTTGCTACCAGCTGGGGAGGCAAGTGTAGGGCAGGCCTGTGCTCTGTCCCTGGTGCAATAGACAGAGTGACAAAGCAAAGACTTCCTACATGAGCCAGTGTCACAGGAGGAGGAAAGCACTGACTTTGATGGAGAGAGAGCTCAGATCAACCACAAAGAGAAGACACCCACCCTCACCCAGCCTGAGGGTCTTGCACCATCACCTGTGCTGCTGCTATGCATGATCCCCGAGATCCTAGCCTGAGAGTCCTGCAGGCACACCGGAGCAGGAGCTATACAGAACCCCAGTGACAAGCCTAACGTCACCGCAGTGAGGGAGTCCCAGCAGGACTGGCTACCCAGCCTGGGCTATAGAGAGAGAACATGTTCCACGCACACTCAGTTTTCCTGTTACTTCCTGCCCCAAACCTGGAGGCGTAAAGAGCAGCTGCTCTCCTGACCTGGCTCCTATCAGCCAGGCTGACCCTCAGTGACAATGTGATACAGAATGTGTGCAGGACCAATGCATGTGGGAACATGTCCAGTGCCTGCTGTGATCTAGCTCCTGTCAGTCAGGATGACCCTCAGTTACAATGTGACACCGATGCATGTGGGACCAAGGCATGGCAGCAGGCTAACAGAAGGCTCTCCTGACTCCACTGTCAACCAGGCTGACCCTAAGTGTGCCTGTGCATAGAATGTGTGCTGGACCAACGCAAGTGGGGGCACACCCAGTGACTGCTCCAACACATCCTAGGGTGCAGGTACCAGGCCTCACTGGGCAGGGCAGGGCTACTCATACTCACTGGACCTACAGGGCCCGCTGTCTCTGCTGTATTCTATGGGAGGGAAGAAGTGGTGGAAGCCCCAGCCTAGCCAAGACCAATTCCCACAGGAGACACATCTGTCCAGGACCATTTTGCTGTTCAACCCTCAGATGTTTAGTGAATAGCAAATATAACAAGGCTATATACCTATCTGTCTATGGGAGCTCTGGTGACCTACTGGTAAAGAGCTTCACTGCAATCCCAAAGGCATGTGGTTCAAATCCATTAGCTGTTCCCAGGAAGAAAGATGGACAATCTCTTCCCATGTAATTTACTGCCTCTGAAAACCTGCCAGCAGCTCAGCTGTGGGTAGGTTCTGACTTAATGGCACATAACAACAACAACATATACATAAGGGCTAGGGCTATGACTGTGGGAGGTGGATGTTTAGAAGTGTTCCAGGCCTCTGAGAGAGCACCCTGTGTCTAGGAGTGCTGGCTTCCGGGCACACAGCTGAGCAGCAAGAACAACCTCTGAGATAGCCATCCCATCCCGACAGCACACATGGTAACCTACAGCACACAGCATCGGACTGTGCAGCTATCAGAAGGACAACTGTTCTGAGAGGCTCAGTGATAAGTCCATGGCAGGGTTGGGCAAAGACTCTGTGCTTCTGTCACTGGGTGGCTGTCCCCTGGACAGAAGTTCAAGAGGCTAGGAGGCAGGCTCCAGAGCAATAGCCCTGCCCTGTCAGTCCCCCAGACCAGGTGGACTGACGACCAGCCTCTATGGTCTGCCACCCCCACATCCAGCTTTGCAGGGCTCAAGTTCTAACACGTTTCCTCCCACGTGCATGCCCACTGTTGGGGCTCAAGGCTGGCTCCTTCTGTTTCCTTGCGCGAAATAGGAAATCCAGGGGAATGCAGAGGGAACTCCAAAATAAACTCCCCAGAGCCATGTGGCTCAGAGCAGGAAGGGCAAGAGTGGTGTAGGGTGGGGAGAGGACTTAGAGGTGCTGAGGGCTGGTTGCCGGGGAACAAGGCTCAGCTAATGAGGGCAGCAGGGCCGGCACAAAGGGCAGGGGCAACCAGGCCTCAGGAGGTAGCAGCTTATCTGAGAAGAGGCTCACACAGAATTGGGTTCAGAGTGTCCATGGGCAGCTGGTGCTAGGCAAACTCTGCTTTTACAAAGCAGCACCCTGTAGCTGACTTCTAGAGATGAACTTTTGGACACAGTATCTTGATACTGGGCTGCAGTGGTTTTACAATGTAGCCAGCTTCTCTCTAGCAGTAGTGACCCAGGGCCTGGGATGCATCACCACTGTGCTGTGGCTGTTGCTGCCTGCCCTCTGCGGAGGCCACTGCCTGTAGCCAGGACAGCCACACGAAGGTATTGTCCAAGTGAGGGTGGGATGAGACAGCTGCCATCAGGGGAAACTGCCGCCCAGGGGGACAGCTGCCTAGGGGACCACCACCTGGGAGGGCCATTGCCTAAGGGAACCACCACCAGATAGAACTACTGCCCGGGAGACCACCACCTGGGA